CCAAAAACTGTCTAATTTTTTTCTCCATTAGTATATATTTTATATCTTTTATAAATCTTAAGACAGTAAAAATAATATTATCCAAAGGCATTTGCACTCAGTTTCTCTTTATTCATCCTATAATTATAATGTATAAAAATAGGGGACAAGTATAAAACCAGGTTTCATGACCAGTTTTGTATATTTTTCTTACTTAGAAATTGTCAGAGTATCTAAATATTGTTTATTAACTCTTTAATATTAATCTAAATTTGTAAAGTTAACTATGGATCTGGAAACTAAAACTCATATTAAGTCTTTATGGTTTGCAGCATTAATAAGAATTTCACATGATTAAATCTATTGACCCATAAACCAGTGCAAGAATTTTAGAGATTTTAAATCCTAAAAACATTAAATCCAATTCTTGTGCAAACTAGCACTTTGTACTAATGTTTTTACATGATGGTAAATTCAGTGAGACAATATAGAGCTGTTTTGAAACTAAAATCATTTCAATTTGTCCAAAGGGATATGATCAGAAATGTTACATGAACTGTTGTAATAGAACTCACTCCAATTTTGATACATGATGAAACTATGTATTCATAAACCAAAATTTTAAATCATGTCAAAAGTTTTTAAGTTTCCTGCTTTTTGTGTCTTATAACCTAGTAACCAAGACCATTATTCAAACTAACAGTTAACTTTTTTCTCCTGTATTAGTTTTAGGAAGAAAAATTTACAGAACCAATGCCAGTAAAACTTGACAATTTTTAAAAAATCATTTGAATTTTATCTGGACTGTATGAGTATGTAAATAACGTCATAATAATTTTTTATCAATTCACATGTTTTTCTAAGAGCAGGAGATAGAGAAGTAGAAGGGGGAAAATGATAGCCAGCTATGGGCAGGTCAGACCAGGCAAAAGTTAACCTACCACCTGAAAATGCTACAGTTCTGAAAAATTGAATCTTATAAATAAAATTGTGGGATTCACAGTATTACCCATGTCAATTTGAAGAGTTTGTTTCTGTCCTATTATTAAAGATACTTATCTTCTTGGGCTTAGTGGATCGTTGGAATTTGGATGCTGCAGTACCCCTTTGGTGACCCCTTTTATAATCACTCAGAGGCTTCTGGTTCTTTCTCGTCTTGACTAGAATGGAACCATTTTCCAGCGACTTTAAATTCACAGTATGAAGTTTTTGTATCCCGGACCCACAAAAAGATGAGCTGCTTGACAGAGGTCAAGAAGGTTGTGGAGTGGGTGGGCTGGGACAGGATTCAGGAATCCTTAGCTGTGGCACAAAGTTCTGAATACAGCCTGCATTAGACATGGACGTATTGGGAAATAGTTGGGTTCTTCTTCATATGGAGACTGCCATTTTAAGGGACTTTGAGTTAGACTGTATATTTCAGAGGGTGGAGGAGGAGGAGGAGGGAAGATGAGAGATACAAACAGAAAAATGTGGAACAGTATTTGGGTGGATCAGCAAGCGAGGCAGATTTTAAGTTTTTCTTATTTTATTGGCCTCAATACAGTCTTCTAGGAAAGAGTAAAAGTCTGGATTATATTTAAGCTGTATTTTAAAATAAACTATACTCATAAAGAATTGTAAAAGCCAATACCACCAATTCCTGTGTGCCTTTACCCAGGATTCCCCAGATGCCCCAATGACAAGATCTTAGGTAACCCTGATACATTATCCGTACTAAGTAATGGGCATTGATTAATGCTGTTAACTACACCGCAGACTTTATTTGAATTTTGTTACATGTATTTTTCCAGTGTATATTTATATGAAATTTAATTATGTTACAGATGCATGGTAACTACTGCCATAATCAGCATACAAAATATTCTATCACCACAAAGTCTCTTATGCTGCAGTTTAATAATCATACCTTCACAGATGTGACCCCCCAGCAACCACTGATGTGTTCTCCATCACTATCATTTGGCCATTTCAATAGTGTTAGGTAAATGGCATCATACAATACATAGCCTTTTAAAATTGGTTTTTGGTTTTTTTTCGGTTTTTTTTTTTTTTTTTTGTACTCAGCAAGTATCCTTGAGAGTCTTTCGGCTTGTCACATGCATCAGTAGTTTCTTTTTTATGGCTGAGTAGTATACCATTGTATGAACGAACCACTGCTTATCCATTCACTTATTGTAGGACATTGTGGTTATTTCTAGCTTTCAGCTATTATAAATACAGTTGCTATAACCATTTGTGTAGATTTTCGTGTGGAAATGTGTTTTTATTTCTGTAAGATAAATACCCAGAAGGCTTATGGCAAGTCCATGTTTAGCGTTGTAAGAAACTGCTGAACTCTTTTTCAGAGTACCATTTTATATTCCTACCATCAGGATATGAGAGTTCTAGTTGTTCTCCATCCTCACTAACAGTGTTGTGGAGTTTTGGGGGTTTTTTCTACATATTATTCTAATAGGTGTATAGTGGTTATATCATCATGACTTTAATTTGCATTTTTTAGTAGCTACAGTGTTAAACGACTCTGTGTTTAACATTGAATACCACATACCATTTGAATATCCTCTTTAGTAAAGTGTCTGGTTTTGTACGTTTTCTAATTGGATTTTTTGTTTTCTTACTGTTGCATTTATAGAGTTATTTATATATTCTGGCTATAGGCCCCTTGTCAGAACTGCAAATTGGAAATGTTTTCTCCCAGTCTGTACCTTGTATTTTCATCCTCTTAACATGGCCCTTCTCAGGAGCAAAAGGATTTGGTTTTGTTAAAGTCTACTTTATTGATGCTTTTCTTTTATGGTCATGATTTTAGCATCGTGTCTAAGAACTCCACCTAATCCTAGCCTATTAATATTTAAAAGATTTATGGTTTCACTCTTCACATTTGGATCTGTGATCCATTTTGAGTTAATGTTTGTATTAGCTGTGTGGTTTAGGTTTAGGTTTGTTTTTATGACCAAGAATGTACAGTTACTCTAACACCATTTGTTGAAAAAATCTTTTCTCCTTTGAATTGGTTTTGCCCTTTTGTTAAAATCAGTTGGCCACACTTGTGTGGCTCTATTTCTGGACACACTATTCTGTTCCTTTGATCTGCATATCTGTCCCTCTACCAGGACTTCATTGCCTTAATTGCTGTCACTGTATAGTATTAGAAGACTAGATAGTGTGATTACACCAGCATTTATTTCTTTCTTTTGTGTTTTTTATGCTTCCATGTAAATTTTAAAAATTTCTCATATCTACAAAAAGTCCTTCTGAGGTTTTGATAAAAACGGTATTAAGCCTCTGGATCAATTTGGGGGGAATTGACATCTTCAATATGTTGAATCGTCTTTCAATCCATAAACACAGTTTGTTTCTGTATTTACTCAGGTCTTTTAAGATTTTCTTCATTAGAGTTGTATAATTTTCTCCATACAAATCCTATGCATAGTTTGTTCGATTTAGATTGAAGTTATCTCATTTTTCTGGAGCAACTGTATAAAGGGTTTTGTGTTTCTAATTTCAGTTTCAACACATTTGTTGCTAGTGTATAGAAATAAGATCCATTTGTTTGTGTGTGTGTGAACTTGGTATCCTGCAACCCTGTTAACTCACCTACTAGTTGTTCCCTTCCCTGTTTCCCAGAAGAGATGGTATAAAGTTACTGTTATTCTTTTAGTGTTTGTTACAGTTCAGCAATGATACCATCTGGGCCTGGAGATTTCTTTATCAAAAGGTTTTAAACTATTAATTCAATTTTTTTAGTAGTTATGAGACAATTCAAGTTATCTGTTATCCTGGGTGTTTTTATAGTTTAGAATTGGTCCATATCATCTAAATTGTCAAATTTATGTGCATAGAGTTGTTTGTCGTATTCCTTTATTATCCTATAATGTCTGCTGGGTCTGTAATAGTGTTCCTTCTTTCATTACCAATATTGATCATTTATGTCTTTCTTGTACTTTCCCCCTTCTTAACCTCCTGTCTCCCCTCCTCTCCTCTTCTCTTCCCTTCCCCCTTCTCTTCTTCTCCCCATGTTTTGTCAGCCTTGCTTAAGGTTGATCAATGTTACTGATCTTTTCAAATAATAAGCTTTTGTTTTTATTTTCTCCGTTGTTTTTCTGTTTTCAATTTCATTGACTTTTTACTCTTATGTTTGTTCCTTCCTCCTCCTTGCTTTGGGTTTACTTTGCTCTTCCTCTTGTAGTTTCTTGAGGTGGAAGCTTTGTTATGGATCTGAGACCATCTTCCAATATAAGCATTTAGTGTTAAATTTATAAATTCCTCTAAAAGTGAACTGCGTTAACTGCATCCCAAAGATTTTTATAGGTTGTATTTTCATTCCGTTCAGTGTATTTTTACATTTCCTTTGAGACTTTCTCTTTGACCATTGAAGTATTTAAAAGTGGGTTAATTTCTAATTGTTTTGTGATTTTCCTGATATCTTTCTATTATTGATTTCTAGTTACATTCATTATGAACAGATAATATATTTTTTATGATTTCAGTCCTTTTAAATTTGTGAAGGTTTGTTTTATATGACCCAGGATGGGATGTGGTCCATCTTGGTATGTATTTATTAGTTGCCAAGGCCATTTTTCCTTGCTGAGGGGCTTGGCTTAGAGATAACACACATCTCCTCTGCCCACATTCCAAAAGTTAGAACTAAATCATATGGCCGCACCTAACTGCACAGAAGGCTAGGAAATAAATTTTAGCTGTGTGACTTAGAAGGAAATGGCAATCAAGTCCGGAAATTACATAACACTCTCTTGTTTTTGATTTTTAAAAATTTTCTCCCTTTATTCCCATTCCCAATCCTATAGTTATTTGACTACATACCCTAGTGTATTTAACATATGTCCTTCTGATCTACCTTCTATACATTGAATTAGGTTTTTATGAATCTTTCAAAAATACCTAAGATTTCTTTGAGAAATTTTACACATGTTTATAAATGGTTATTGTCTGATATAGTTTGGATGTCGTACCCTCTAAACCTCATGTTGAATTGTAATTCCCAGTGTTGGAGGTAGAGCCTGGTGGGAGGTGACTGGATCATGGGAGCAGAGTTCTCATGAATGGTTTAGCACTATCCCCTTGGTGCTGTCTTTGCGGTAGTTCTAGCAAGATCTGGCTGTTTAAAGGTGCGAGGCATCTTTCCTCTCGCCCTCTGTTGCTCCTGTTTTCACCATGTGACATGCCTGCTCCTGCTTTGCCTTCTGCCGTGAGTAAAAGTTCCCTGACGCCTCTCTGGAAGCCAAGCACAGGCCAGCACCATGCTTCCCGTACAACCTGCAGAACTGTGAGCCAATTAAACCTCTTCTCAGGGTTGTTTTTTTTTTCTCAGTCTCAGGTATTTTTTTTTATAGCAGTGGAAAAACGGCCTGTATAGCATTCCGATGATTAGTTCTTCACTATATATTAAAATCGACTTATGTTGCTGCATGTATGGCTAATTCATCCCTCTGCTTCAGAAAAATTCCACTTTTTTCATATTTATTCAACATTTTACTTATCCCCCCGTGTACTAAAAGTCAAAAGCATTACTAATTTAATAATGTCATATTTGTTCTTCTAATTATTTTTTGCTGCATAACAAAGCACTCCTAACTTTGTGGCTTAAAATGATAACAGTTATTTATTTTATTCAAAAATCTGCAATTTGGGCTTAATTGGCAGAACAGCTCATCTTTGCTCCTTATAGTATCAGCTGGAGTTGGCGATGACTCAGCAGGTCAGGGCTAGAAGACTCATTCTCGTCAGGTGATTGACGTTGACCGTCAGTTGGAACCTCAGCTGGGGCTGTTTGCTGGAACACCTACACATGCCATGTCCATGGAGCTACTTGACTTCCTCACTGCAATGGCTGGGTTCCAAGAGCAGTTATCCCAAGAGAACAAGACAGAAGTGCATCACTTTTAGGATCTTGTCTCACAAGTCACACAGAGTCACTTCCACCATCCCCTGCTGGTCAAGGAGGACGTGAAGGTCTTCCCAGACTCTACCACCTGATGGAAGGAGTGTCAGTGTTGCATAGCAAGAGAAACACATGGAATGGGATGTATTGTGATGCCCATCTTTGGAACAGACAATTTGGCACGTCTGTGAAAATTAAGAGTCTGATTTGGATGTAACAATTGAGACTGATTAGCAAAGATGTCTAATTATAAAAATTAAATTCCAAATATACTTTTTGTTTTTTTTGGTCAAAGAACAAAGACTAGGTTATAGCCAAGGAATTCTGGCTTCCTATATCCCTAAGCTTTATTTTTCTTTTTCTTTTTCTTTTTTGAGATGGAGTCTCACTCTGTCACCTAGGCTAGAGTGCAGTGGCACGATCTCGGCTCACTGCAACCTCCGCCTCCCAGGTTCATGCGATTCTCCTGTCTCAGCCTCCTGAGTAGCTGGGATTACAAATGCACACCACCACACCCGGCTAATTTTTTGTATTTTTAGTAGAGATGAGGTTTCACTATGTTGCCCAGACTGGTCTCGAACTCCCGACCTCATGATCTGCCCACCTCGGCCTCCCAAAGTGTTGGGATTATAGGCGTGAGCCACCGCACCCAGCCCCTAGGCTTTATTTCTAAGGTTATCAATACCTTCTTCCCCTTGATCCTTATTTTTTATGTGATCAACATAATACTTGAGATTAACCAGTTCAAACAACATGATTACAAAACCTATGCACACCTTGAGTGTAATAAAGAGAAACAGAGAGCTTTTTTCCCTTTAGAAAATATATCATACAAGAAAGCAATAGTAACTAGTTCTCAACCTCCTTCTCTTTTTCTTTTGCGCTGCTGGCCAGAAGATCTCTGATGTATTGGACATTGTGACTAGATACCTTCAGTATACACATGACTATTCTGAAAGCTTATTATCTCTATCACTAGAAAATAGATCCATAACTTTTGCAGTCCTTGTGCCTTTTTCTCTGAACTTGTGTCTCCTGAGACTCTATTAAATACAATGGTGCTTGAGGAAAACACTGCCAAAATAGCTCTGCCTTTCATAAGGTTATGTAAGAAAAATGGGAAAAGCATTCTAGCAAAGTGGTCATGAAAAGATTGTAGTGAGTTCAACTCTGTCAAGTCCTGATTTCTGTATATCATTTTGCTTATTTCTCTTAAAATCCAGAAAGGTCATACCCAAATGGGTGAAAATGCTGATCACTTTTACCTTTTAACTACATAAAACTTTCACCAAGGCAGAAAATCACAGCTAAAATATTGACATAAGATGGACCAACCTGATTTGTTTCTTTTCTTGAACTGCTAAGCCAAGACAAGATGAGTGTTGGGCCTTTGTTTTTATTTTTTAATGGGTAATTTGAAATATATACGAAAGTAGAGAGGATGGTTCAGTCATCCCTCAATATCTGTGAGGGATTGGTCTGAGGACCCCTGTGAATACCAAAGCCTGCTGACACTTAAGTCCCTGCTATAAAATGGCAGAGTATTTGCATATAACCCATGCACATCCTCTCATGTACTTTAAATCATCTCTAGATTACTTGTAGTACCTAAAACCAAGTAAATGCTATGTAAATAATTGTCATATTGTATTGTTTAAGGAATAATGACAAGAAAAAAAATCTGTACATGCTCAGTAGAGACACAACCATCATAGACCTAACTACACTTTTGATCTGATTTGAATCGCAGATGCAGAACCCTACAGAGGGCTATGTAGTGAAATGCCACACCTGTCCCCTAACTTCGGCAATTACCAACCCATGGCCAATCTTGTCGTCTGCACTCTCCATCCCCAAATATATTAAAATGTATTACTTTAAAGCAAAAGCTTGATATTATTTCATCCATAACTGCTTCAATGTGTATCTCTACAAGAAAGGGACTCTTCAAAAACCTAACTACAATACCATTATCACACATTTTAAAATTAGCAGTTTTGGAGGCAAAAGGTGTGTCTATAAATGGGGAGAATGAAGCAAAGAATATAAGTGGACATAGAACAGGAGAAACAAACAAACAAAAAAGACTGAGTCTCTGAAGTCCTGAAAGGGGTTCCAGTCCACAGGTCTCCCTTTGATGTTGACAGTCACCTCATCTCTTTGTATCATTCTAATAAATCCCCTCTTTTTTGATTACACTGAGTTGAACTTCAGTAATTTTAATTTAGAAGCATCATGACTAATATTACTGCTATCTGGACAGCTTAGTGTTACTCTTCTCTCCATATTTGTTTATTTGTTTATCATACCATTCAATTTAGTTAATGCCAGTGACTACTGTTTATTGAACACTGATCATGTACTTGGCACTCTACCAAGTGTAGAGATTAAACTACACTAATTTCACAATAACCCAATAAAAAAGTATTTCCATATCTTGTAGATAAAGAAATGAAGGTCTACCTGGATTAGGTATTATTCCCAGGTTAAACAGTTAACAAGTGTGGAACCAAAATCTCACCCAGATCTTTCTGGCCCTCAGCCTGTTCCCACTATGCTATGCTGCATCTAACAAACGTGATTTTTATTTTCTAAAAAAGCCAGTACAATTCTGTAGTACCTGCTGTTCATCATATTGTTTCCTCATCTTCCTAGGCACGCAACTACTCCTTCATGGCACTTAGGCTTGGTCACGTGATTGGGTTCTGGCCTATGGAGTGTGAGTAGAAGACATGGCATATTTCTTGGCTGGGCCCAATAAAACTTCCCATTGGCTGTCCTCTTTGCTCTCTCTGCTTTTGCTGTCGGGCTGATGATGCCCAAGGTGACCTTGGGAACCACTCATTGGTGATGGGAAAGACTGACATCCTGAGTCTCTGAGTGACTGTATGGGACAGAGCCCTGCTGCCACCAATCTGAAACCTCTTTGGACTGTTCACATGAGCAAGAGATGAACTTCTATTGTGTTTAAGCCATTGTGTATTTAGCATTCTATTTATTATTACAGCAGTTAGCCTTCCTTAACTTTTATGTACTGTTTCAATTATCTTTTACTGGGTAACAAACTACCCCCAACATTTAGCGACTTAAAACCACAGTCTTAAATTAACTCATGATTCTGTGGGTCAGAAATTTGGGCTCTTGCCCCTGCTTGTTCACGTCGCTACAGTGAGCAGGTGGGTAGCTGGGGGCTAGTTGCTCCAGCATTGCCTCACTCACATGTCTGGAAATAGGTGCCGACTGGACCATGTGTCTCCAGCAGGCCTGCCTGAGATTTTTCGCATGTTGGTGGAAGTGTTCCCAGCAGCAAGAGAGGGCAAACCCCAATCTGCAAGTACGTCTCAAGCTCCTACTTGCATCGTGTTTGCCGACGTGCCATTATCCAGTGTGAGTCACCTGTGTAGAGGGGAGTATGATTTTTTGGGGACTATTTACTGCAGCAATCTGCCATATGTATAAGAGTTAGGCAAATCATTTACATATATACGACATCTTAGTCACATATTTAATACCAGAGTCCCACTCTGAGACTGTTTTCATAACCCCTGAATCAAGTTCTATTTAATAATATCTGATAATCATTTATTTTTTACTTTTCAGGTCTATATATGAGAATAAAATATTTTACCAATACATCATACATTTAGGTTAGTAGAATTGGGATTTAAAGAAATGAACCCAGTTTCATCTTTGCCATTAACATTGAGCTCCCTTTGTTTTAAGTCAGATGCACTAACCCTCCCTAGACTCCATATCCCCTCTGAACTACTGTCATGTCCTGTCCCCTTCACATCATATTTCTTTCTTTCCTTTTTTTTTTTTTTTTTTTT